CCTAAAGTGAATATCCGGAAATTCATAAAGGTGAAATTTATCCAGATTTTTCAACAGGGTTTCTCAAGGGAAGCTGTGGGAATCACATCTCTGGACACATCTGTCACTAGGCTGGACAGAGTACTTAACACTCTATCTATCGTACTTTATTTTCAAGTGATATTGTCCTATCTACATTAAATGTCTCTACTAGAATTGGTTGAAAATTTTCCATTGAACCTATTTTTCACTGGAAAATAGCTTTCCCCCCCCCCAATGGGGGGGGGAATGAATTAAAACCCCTCTGACATTTCCTCAGTAAACATTAAATTAAGGAGCCTGGTTTTGCTTCTTTCAAAAATTTTAATGGACACGGTCACCACTTTCTAACTAGCTCTAGCTTCCAGTGATATGGTTCTCTGGCCTCTAGTATAGATGCAGCAGGGATTTTTCCTGAGTAAGGACTGCAAGCTTTGCTCCGAGTCCATTAGAAGCCTGAACGCTCTCCACTGATTTACACTAGTGTACATGAGGAGTAATTCCACTGAAGTCAGGGGAACAGATGGGGGGGGGGCCCTCAGGAGACCTGGGTTCTACTACTGACTCCACTGCTGGGTATCCTTGCGTGAGTCACTTCAGAGCCGTGCCTCAGTTTCCCCATGTGTAAAATGGGGATAAAGTGCTTGAGAGCTACTGATTGAAAAGCCCTATATAAGAGCTAAATATTAATTATTAAACTAAATGCAGTTACACTGGTACAACACCAGTATGAAGTTAGAAACAAGGTCTAAGGCATTTAAACATATTAGATGTATCATGCTCCTTTGACTGGCACAGTGGCTGACCTAGTTCTCATAGGCACTGATGCAGCAAAGCACTCAGAGGGAGATTTCCCAAGACAGTAAGATGCCCAACTCCTATTTGAACTTTCGGAAATCTCCCCCTTAAGCATGTGCTTAACTTCAGTGGGACTACTCACCTGCTTAAGGCACATGCTTCAGTGCTTTGCTGAACAGAGGCCTTAGAGCTGGACTTCTTCACAACTTCTAAGTTTTAGGGAGCTGCTGTATCACCAGGGGGCATGTGTGAAATTGCTGTGAACATTAATGAGAATGGCACGATTGTGTTGACGTGACAGGCACTTAGTTGTGTTCATTGGAACACCATGGCATCATTGGTAAGAAGGCACAGTCATACTGCTGTCAAAGGGCAGACAGCAGAGAAGCTGGAAATGGAACAGCTCTATTGAGTCATCGTCTACATTAGCTGGTGGAGGCGGAGGTTAGGGTTAGGGTCAGAGC